AGGTACCAAGCCATGTGGCTAACACAGACAAGAATTGTAGGCTAATATAAGTTATAAGAGTTAATAAGAAGCCTGAGATACTAGGCCAATCGGTTTATAATTAATGTAGATCTCTGTGTGATTTCTTTGAACTTAACAACTGCAGGAACCAGGCAGGACAGAAAACTCTGTCAACAGAAGTTAACTAGTAAAGTGGACAGGATCTCAGAAGATGGCACGGATGCTGCCATTCCTATGCCAGAAACAAACAGCTCAGGGATTCACTTCGCTCTCTGAGGTACCCTGTGAAACTTGGCTGCAGAAGATATAGCTCATGGTTTTTCAGTCGTACTGTGGTAGAGGATTTATTTTGTTTAACTTGAATTATCACACTGGCCCACTCAAATAATTTGCTAGCCACACAGGCATTAAATCAATGGACGTTCACCACAACACATGAATCAATTATAGATCCAGGGAGCATGTGTCATGTTAGGCAGGTATGCTCCTTATGACACCGGGCCATAAGCAAGGGTTCCTGACTGAGGAGAGCAAAGACCCTAGCTTGATGGCTTCTGACCTAGATGACTGATTAAATGGTGATGGTCATAATGTAAAACTAAATAGAAAGCATGGGTGAGATAGGCAGTTGATTGATAAGATGGCTTTTGTTACACAGCAGCTCTTGTTATCTGAGCTGCCTCCTGTGGACCTGCTGAGTATCACTAGTGCACATTGGAAAGCACTGTCTTGTGTTAACATGTGTCTGTAGGTAAAAGTATAGAAATCATTAGTGTAGAGCTGATGGCTAAATCCACCGTGATGGAAAGATGCCTTCCCTCTCCTAGGACTAACTCTGCAGAGATGATGAAGTACAGGTTTCTAGAATGCGATTTAGTGCTAGGTCAGTAGTTCTAGTCAAGGAGATGGAAGCATTTGTTGCCTTGAAACTTACAGTACAGACACAGTCAGACTTTCAATCACAGGTAGTTCAGTTCCTAGGAATATGCGTTTGGAAAATATGTCTAGTAATTCTAAGCCACAGGTATTGTTGTTTTAAGCTATTTGCAGAGCAACACACACATACACTCTCAAACACACAGACACATACACACACACACATTAAATACCATCACCAACTTCTTCACTCTATGGGCTCATCTTCCACTAACTCTGGCAGGCAAGATCCTACCCTGCCACCAGTCCCCAGTTCCCTTGCATAAAGAACACTAGCATACACACATGCATGAGCAAGCACAGCTTCCTCAGTCGCTTTCTCTGTTGTTGCCTTTTGTGTTCTGTCCCCCACAAACAAACATTACATTTTGCTTGTGTGCTCCCAAGTTCCCTGCCCTCTCCTTAAAGAAAAATCCCATCCAAGTATGTGATATCTTCCACTCCATATCCGTGTTTTTCAAAATGATAATTGTATAGAAATATTTCCCTTAATGTCAGTTGAATGACTAAACATTTAGGCAATGGAGAACAAGAGCAGTTGGAGTAAGTGAACTCAGCTGTCTAGGAGAGGAGTTAAATTGGGTTCTGATGGAGCATGAGGATGAGCAATGGACCGACATTTTAAGGGGAGCATGCGCAGAGGCACGGAGAGAATGGGAGAGGAAGACTGAACAGAGAACAAACTAGAAAGTAGGCAGGGTGCAGAGCACACTGGGCAGATGGGGTGCAGTGGACAAAGTCTAAGCAAGATTGAAAGCTTGAGACTTGAATCAATAGGAGATCGAGCGTCCTGATTTGAAGATTTGAATTAACTGTCACCAAAAATAAATGGGTTGGTGAGAGGCCTAGAATTATGAATGACAGTAATAAGATTATATGAAAAGAAGGGAAATTAAGCAGAGTTGTAAGGGGGAAAGAAGGGTAATTTGTTGGTATTATTTGGGAAATTATATTAAATGTATTAGCATTCAATGTCCATTGCAATAGATCGTTTTCTCTGAGCCATTTCACCTCCTGCTTCCTAAGACTTTTAGCAGATCATCTAGAACTGCCTAGTCAAGTGACGGGTCATTAGCATACGTCACTGTAACTCCATTGCTTAAGACATTTTTCCAGACCTGGGCCAGTGTGGTAGTGTAGCAGGCAGGCACTTGCCACCACACCTCACAACCCGAGTCCAATTATTTGGACCCACATGGTGACAGGAAAGAACAGACTCTAAAGTTGTCTCCTGATTTCCACATATGCCCCATGCCCTACAAATCCCAGGCACATATGTGAAATATGTTTGAGGTGTAATAAAATCTTATTTTTCCAGATCTGTATCTTTGTTAAGATTATAGGGACAATAGGGCAGCCTGGCACCTTCTCTATCATGGAGTCAAGGTGATTACACAGCCCACGGAAAGCAGAAAGCACAACTAAGGATATATTTTACGTGTAAAGGAAGAAATTTTGAAATGAGTTTACAAAATAATCAAAATTTGACTATCAGCTACTTTGTGAATTTTAAGTTTTCATAATCATTTATACTTTGTTTGATGGTTAAGTCATTTTATTAATTGCGAGATAAGGTTATCTAAAGATTATGCAATATCTAGATATTTTTAAGTTTATGCAGCTTATACACATATGTAAACATACTTAAGAGCACACATACATGTGAGTGATGAATCACTGTGGCTAAATGAAACTAGGATTATTTTGGGGGACCTTGTCTATGCCTTCAAGAAAACAAATTATGCACAGACACAAAGGAAAAATGTATTGAAATGCCATTCAGAAGAGACAGGAACTAAAATGCAGCAACTGCTCATAGCTCCGTCTTCAGATACTCAGGGACCCTGGGGCCACGTGGATTCTGCATGTCTCTGATGTTCATCCATGTGCAAATTAGCATTGGAAAGACCATGATTTGTCTTCATGAAAGCTGTTTTCCCTGCAAAAATGAAAATCCTTCATGTTTCCATAATTAATTTTCTACACTTCAAACCTCACTACTTGGGTTTTTTAAACGTTAAATCTTATTGGCAAATATAGAAGAGTTCATTTGTAAAAAATTAAAAATAAGATGAAAATGAAATCTTTTCCTAAATTTATCATTTAAGCATATATGAACACAATAAAAATAAAATTTTAAGTTAGACTTAGACTTTAAAATATCTCGTTTCAGTGAAATGTGTCATGTGGAAATCTTGGGAAACAGTCATGGCTGCATCAGCCTTGGCTGAGCTTCAGCTTCACTGGTTCAGACTCCGAGGTTTAAAATATTTCTCTTAGCGGGTTACTTTAGTTTGCTCTATGTTTTTATTTTCCAAGTTTTGCTTCTTTTTCTAAATATAACTTTTATTTGAAAAAAAGCATCCAGTTCTTATTTCAGGAGCACAATATCTCCTTGGGTTGTGTTTATTACAAGCTATGAGTTTTCTCCTGGTTACTATAGTATGACACGTTTCCTGGGGTTTTTGTTTTTCATTGTTTTTTTTCTCAACTAGGAAACAATTAGCAAGGAACTGAGTGTGGAATTGAACTTTTTTTTTTTTTTTGAGTCAGGGTTTCTTGGTAGTTTTGGAGCCTGTCCTGGAATTAGCTCTTGTAGAACAGGCTGGCTTCGAATTTACAGAGATCCACCTGTCTCTGCCTCCTGAGTGCTGGGATTAAAGGCGTGAGTTACCACCACCCGGCATGATTGAAATTTTGATAGAGAGCCTTCATTATACCACCTTTATGTTAAAATGTTTCCCAAGGTTGAGCCGGGAGCACACATCTCTGGGAGTTTGCCACGTGTTGAGACATTTAATAATTTTGCTCAGGTTCAGCTGACAGTTCACCTATAGATGAGCAGAGGGAGACCAGACGAGTTGGCTGTGGATGAAATGGTTCCATTCCATCTAGTACCTCCCCCAATTGGTTCACACAGCTCCGTCAGTTCTGCAGGACTGGGCTTGCCACGTCAGAGTGTCTGTCTATGAAATGTATGGTGTGAAGACAAAGGCCAGGCACTCGCTAACTCCCTAGGTGACTCTTGATCCACCCTCTCCAGCTTTTTTCCTCCATCTCGCTTTCTGCAGTGCCCACAGCTTCAGTACTCAGCCTTCCCCAGGGCCTTAGTTTTCTTGGACGTTGGCCTCTTCTGATACTTATGTTAACATTCATTTTTCTCAAATTTTTCTCTGTCAGTTGCAATTTTCCAGTCCTTTCCTATCCTCTAAGAACCTCTCGCAGTCTCCAGCTTTTGTTCTTGTCTTCTGTCCTCTTTCCCATGTATGGCAAGGACAGTTCTGTTCCTTTACTCACACTTGGTGAGTTCTGTTGAGGATTTGGCAGAAGCAACCGAGCAAGTTGCCAGGTTACACCACGTGGCAGTGCTGTGGGAGTGTGGGGGCTAGTCTTTCATGTCGAACCACTAATACCTAAACTGATCACAAAGCTCAAAATAAATAAAAGGCCGCCGGATGCAGCAAGGTGCTTCTCTTAACAGCTGGCTCCAGTGGGTTTACTGGCCCCACGTTCTCCTCAGCCTCCAGGCCAGACCCTTCGTTCAGTTTCCTTATCGCTCTTAACAACCCCATGTGGAAGTCAAAACTCGTGGGGGCCACGTGACTTGGGAAGCAAGTAGAGCAAGGAGGAGCTGAGGTGTGAGTAGGCTGGGTTGACTCCAGAGCTCTGGCATTCACAGCCAACAGATGTGCTGCCTTCACTTGGGGTGCGCTATGGGATTTGAAGGAAACTGATTTCAGTAAGAACCGCTTGCTCATACTGCTGGGCTGTTGTCTTGCTTTTTTATATTTACACAACTTTAAAATGATGGTTTTGTTTACAATATGAATTTTGAAAAATCTGGCACCTTTAAATTGTTCATTGGATGTTTAATATTGTGATATATTTAAAACTCATAAAAATCCTGGTAGAAGAGACAGGTAGGAAAGGAGGAATCCCGGAAGCTGGAATATTGACAGTGGTCAGGGCTGAAGTGCAGTGCAAGATTCCGACTCCAACCCCTGTTTTTTCTGACCCAGGACTCTGGAAAGCTAATCATGAATATTGCCTTCCTGTCCTTTCAGGTTTTTGCCGTTTTCTTCCTTCCATAAAAAGGAGAAGTACATCCCAATGATACACTCATCAAGCAAGTACAATCCCAGCTCTTATGGACAGCAGTGCTTCCGCAGTCAAGACCCTAAAAAGTGGATCAGTGGCAAGGTAGGTGCATGATGCGGTAGAAACGGCTAAAGATAGACGCTGACGACAGCATTTGGAAATGGTGACTGGAGATAGACAACTATAACAGTCAATGCAAGTGTTCTCATTACAGCTACGACCTTCATAATCATAAACTTATCGGAAGCTATGTTTGTAAAGATGGTGCAGCTGACGTGTGGTCAGTGAGATTTGCATTAATTCTTTGCATTATTGGTTCTTAATGTATGTTTTATGATTATATATCCTATAATCAATAACATGGATCACTGACTTTGACAGATTTCCAGGGTTGGGGTTTGAATATGAAACCCCAGAGTGGAATGGATTATTGAACATGGAGGCCAGATATTTCTTTCTCTCTCAATCTTTGTGCATATATATCTATATGTACATATACATATAGATCTATATGTACAGAAAAGAGATATGTGATTGGCATATACAACATGGATTGTGTACACTTGACAGATATGTGTCTGTAGTATGCACATTTGTAATGTGTACAGAACATGTAGGTTTCAGATACCATTGATAAGGTATTTTTGTTCTTGGTGCCATAAAATACATAAAATAATTAGCCTGGAAAATCAAGTGAACAAAATTAGCAAAGTTGGAAGTGTCCCACTAGTTTATTTCAAAATACATCGCATTGCCATAGTAACTGAAGCATCATGCATGTGTGGGCGTTAAAAGACACATATTGACTGATGAAGTAGGAGAGAAAGTGCAGAAATATTCCTCCATGTGCATGCTCAGTTGATCCTCAACAATGGTGGCAAATACAACAGCAGAGGGATAGTCCACTCAACAGATGGTGGTGGGATAATTGGATATTCTTATGCAGGAAGATGAAATTGGATCCTTACTACTCACCATATTAAAAAATCGACTCAAAACCTATTCAAGGTTTTAACATAATCCCTGAAACTATGAAAGGAAACATAGAAAAGCTTTTGATATTGGGCTCAGCAATGCTTTTTGGATATGAACTCAGAAGTATAAGCTGCAAAATGTGAGTACATAGCTGAAATTGTCTCAAACTGAAAAACTCACCTATCAATGAGTGAGATACTTCCAGGGGGATGAGGAAGATATTTGGAACCAGACATTGTAGTAAAGGTCAACATCTAAAATGTGTAAGCAAGTGTGTTTGCGTGTGTATGTGTGTGCGTGCGTGTGCTTGTGTGTGTGTGTGTGTGTGTGAGCGCATGAAGGCAAAGGCCCAGAAAGATGATTCAAAGAATATATGGAGGTATCTTTTGAGTACACGTACAGGTGTTCAACACCACTAAAATTATCCCTGAAAAGTAAATCGAAACCACAGTACATTCTTCATACTTGGCAGAATAACCATTACCAAAAAGATCAAAGGAAAACGCTGGCCACCTTGTGAGAAAGGGGAACCCATGTGCTGTTTGTAGGAGTGCAGGTATGCTATCTATCACTTGACCCAGCAATCTGAAATCCTAGAAAAGTCCCCAGGCAATGAAATTAGTATATCAGAGAAGTAAGTTGTAGTAGGAGTGGTGGGCCATTTCTCGCTGCCTGCCCAGCTAGTTTTACCCGAAATAATTACACGGAAACTGTATTCTTTTAAACACTGCTTGGCCCATTAGTTTCAGAGTTAGCCTCTTATTGGCTAACTCTCACATCTTGATTAACCCATTTCTAATGATCTGTGTAGCACCACGAGGTGGTGGCTTACCGAGAGGATTCTAACCTGCAGCTGTCTCAGAGAGGAGAGTCATGGCGTCTACCTCACTTGCCTTCTTCCCAGCGTTCTGTTCTGTCTACTCCACCCACCTACGTTCTGACCTATCAGGCCAAGCAGTTTCTTTATGAATTAGCCAATGAAAGCAACAGAAATACATAAGACTCTCCTACATCATTTCCCCTTTTTCTGTTTAAACAAAAAAGAAAGGCTTTCATTTTAACATAGTAAAATTACATATAGCAAAACAGTTATAAAGCAAGAATTACAGTCACAATATTTATAACTATATCTTTATCATAATAATGGAAAACTATAACTATGACTATCCATTCTTCAACTCCATCAAAGACTCCAGAAGGATATAATATTACCTAAGTAAGCAAGAAATAAGCAACTTTCAAACTCTAGAAATGACAGAGACATCTCGCTGCCTGGACAGTCACCCAAAGTTCCTCTGTACCATTGGGGCATCCCTCTTCGGCCTTCAGGCCCATAGTATCCAGCAGACATTTCCATGAAGCAGGAAATTTCAAAGGCAGTTCAGTTGCCATCTGCTGTGTCCTGCAAAATGTCTCGCAGACTCTTTCATGAATCAGGAACCCCGAAAGACCATCTCACCTTTAGGAGAGTTCAGCAGTCCTCACTCTGCAGGTTCTCTGTGTCCAGTTCATGCAACAGTCCAGGCAAGAGCAGTTTCTTGCCCAAATGGCTAATCAACTCCATAGGAGCCTCTTCGATGCCCATCTTCCTCTTGAAGTAGATTGGTGCTGCCAGGAGCAGACGTGTCTCATTGTCATGAAGAGCCCTAAGTTATTAAAACATTGAATGCCATATTCTGTAGTCTTTGAAAGATATGAGGAATGCCTATCTGAAAAATATATCTATGCACATCTAGAAAATCAAACTAACATTACTACAAGCTTGACTATTATCGATGATTATCCATTAACAACCTATATTTTTAATTATACATTGCATTTTTAAATGAACTACACAATCACAATACCTTAATCAAGATCAGAAATATATATACATATAACAAAATTGACCTTAAAATCCATACCAATGCAAATTATTCATATCTATATCCTATCCCCCTTTAAATGTAAAAGAACATTTATAAGCAGTATTTGAGAATATAGACGTAGTTATTTCTCTCCAAACTTCTTCCTGCTGTATAGGGGTGCTGTTAATCAGGTCTTTCATGATAACCTGTGTGCTAGGTTCATCTCAGTTGGTAGTTGAATGAAGTAATTTCTTGAGGGTGTTCACAGCAACCTTTCAGGAGGACGTGGTCTATCATACCATATTGGGATAGAAACAATCCACAGGGTCTCATCCTCTGTGAAAACAAAAGAAGACCCTCTCCAAAGCATCATATCCTTAGACCCAAATTTTGAAGTCATGTTTCCACAACGTCATTCACAGCAGCCAGGACAGTCACCAGAGATGAATGGATGAGAAAATGGGATAGACACATGGTGAAATATTATTGTGCCATGAAACATCAAAGAAATCTTGTTATTTATGACTTGAATGAACATGGAAGATTTTATGCCAATGACAAAGGTCAGGTACAATGACAGAAAGGCAGATACTACACCATGGGAGTTAGAAACTCAAATTCATAGTAGAAACTAGAAGAGTGGGACCCAAAAACTTGGAGATGGAGGTGGACTAAAGTCATGTTACAAAGACTCTACCCTTTGGCTCCCTCTAGGGGTGGCCTGGGAATTTGGCATTGGAAGCAGTCATCCTACTCTTTCCATACTAGAGGAGACAGCGGTGCCCTGAGTGGGAGATGCAGAAGCCATGATGGCCTCTGAGTTGTCTTGCAGGGTCATTCTATTTCCTTGAAGAAAACTGGCCAGTCCTGGAGAGAACAGGAAGCTCATTGCCCGCCCACACCCTGTCTGCTTTCTTCCCCCATTTAATTCAATTTATCAGTGTCTTTGCTACTCTAATCCCAGCTCTATTCCAGACATAAGTTAAAATGTCTTCTTTACTCTGTCTCAGAAAAATAGTGCTGTCTCTGCTGTATCATGTCTTCCTTTAAGAGCTTTTTCTCATGTCATCCCATCTTAACCTACAAAGTGAATGCAGGGTTTTGAGGGAGAGGGAGCCAATATTTTGAACGTACCGCAAGGCACCTGTCTTAGTTCTGTTTTTTACTGCTGTGAGGAGACACCATGACCGTGTTTACTCTTAAAAAGGAAACATTTAATTGGAGGCTTGCTTTAAGTTTCAGAGGTTCAGTCCTTTATCATCGCGGCCAGAAGCTTGGCAGTGTGAAGGTAGACGTGGTGCTAGAGGAATAGCTGATCGTCCTATATCTTGCAGACAAGAGGAAGTCTCCTGACTGTCACACTGAGGGGAGCCTGAGCAAAAGAGGGCCTCAAAGCCCACCCACACAGTGATTCACTTCCTCCAACAAGGCCACACCTTCTAACAATGCCACTCCCTCTGGGGGGGCCATTGTCTTCCAAACCACCATATACCTTTCATGCCTAAGATCTTGGTTTATTATCATTGCTGATGTGAGTACAGGTGGAAGGTCTACACATGCAGGACACACGTGTGTATGTCTGAGATGGCTCTCAGGAGTCTGCTCTCCCTTTCTACTCTGAGTTCTAAGTAGGGAAGTCAGCTCCTAGGATTGCTGAGCTGTCTCTCCTATCCACGAGGCCCGTTTTAAATTACAGCTATTGAGTCATTCTGTTTAAAAGTCATCTTCAGCACTAGTAATTCCAGGCCTAAGGTTTGCACAGTGAGCTCAGTCGGTTTATCCTAGGGACTGATGGGCAGGCTGAGGTGGGGGTTATCCTGTCATTTTATAAAATCCCACATCCGACCTATTCCTGATGTTTTCTACCAGTATGCAACCTTCCTAAATGCAAACTAGATATAAGCTCTAACCATTCAGTTTCATATTTTGGATGTTTATAAATGTGATAATGCATTTCATTTTCTAATCAACATAACTTTTCATGTTGGTGCTTTTCACCATTTGGTTGGATTCAGCAAAAAGTCTGAGTGACTTTGAGCATGTTCATCCCTGTAACAGTGGGAAAGATCCCTGTGCAAGGTTTTGTTTCCTTACCTAGAATCACGCTTCCTTTGACAGTTTTGTGACCGACTCATTTAACATAGTCCATAAGTGTGCCCCATGTGCCCATCTCCCTTAAGCAACTCCATAGAAACAGAAATTTCAAATACTCACTAGAAGTGAGAAGAACTCATTTGATTATTTCAGAAGACTCATCATAGACGATCTTTAATTCACAAA